CACTTGTCAAACCGACCTTGACACAATTTGTTTACAATATGGCGTCGACTCACGTTAGATGTTGTGGCCACACTTTTGAAATCACCTTTTGCGACAAAATGTCAAACAGTTAGAGCAGTTCATTCCCGCGGTCAGGTAGTTCGAGCAATCACACATGACTCTCAGTCATTTCATATGGAAAAAAACAGCAGTTTTTTGTCGAAACATAAACAGAAAGACAATCTGCGTTGCCGTTTCGTCTCCAGCGCCGTGCTAAATCGCAATGATACATGGTCGATAAAAATATGCAATACTTGAACAAAACACTTCCGTTGCGGACTTAACGTTAGTTGTCTTACGCCAATAACTGTGCACTGGGGAAAAGTAAATATTTCTGACCCGTCTGATCAATTTCCTTTTCAAATTGGCTGTGGATATTATAATAGTTGCGTGTATGTAGCATGGGTGCATAATAACAAAATCGCCGTCTTTCGCATGAAATTCAACCTGGCAGAAAAAGACCGAGAAGAGCGGTTACCATTTTACTAATCTCACCATATTTTGCAAAACGTAGCACTGTATAAAATATGAGTTACACGATGTAAAGGTGAAATGGTTTGGGTGACGATGGTTATAATTTTGATTTTGCGCACTCAGTGTTTGACATCTTAATTCACAGTTGAAAAGGGACATTTTTGCGGTGCCTTATATGGTCCCGTGGTAGTAAGAAGAAGGTGTGAAAAGCGAGGGACCATATATGGCCCCGTGGCACCAAGAGGGTTAAGAAACCACGTTCGTGACTTCATTGATAACTATTACAGAGAGAAAAAACTTAAACGGAGGTCACTGAGTTACAAATAGCAACGTCAGAGAGCATTATATAGGATGACGTCACAAACAAGAAACGTGACGCTGATGACGTCAAATAGCAATAGAACAGATAGCAGCCCGTCGTTAGGGAAGAGCGGACTGCTATCAAGTTACGGTGGCCCGCAGATTTCTGCTAACATGCGGGCATTTTTATGATAATTCTATCGATTTTAGCTTAAATACGTTCATATTAAGTGCATTATATATTTCGTTGCTAACGTTTGTTTTTACGTTAAAGCGTTGTACATCGGAAACGTAGGTACGGGTCTTGTCGTTTATACCGGTTGTAAGTGTCAAGTTTGCATTTTGACATGACATGAGCGACACTGATACCAAATAGTGTAAACGTTTCGGCATGGTAAATTCGTTATGGTGTCTTTAGTTGCCGTATACGGTGTCATATTAGGTTAACAGAAAACAAAATGGGCGAGGCGTTATATTTTTCTGCTAACCTAATATGACACCGTGTACGGCAACTAAAGACACCATAAATAATATTGTGGTGGCAGTTTCATGAAAGTCTCCCTGACCTTGGATCACCTTGAAGGATCTCTCTTCCCGTCATCCCCTAAACGTGACACCGTTGGTTGGTTGGTTTGTTGTTTAACGCCGCACTCAGTAATATTCCAGCTGTATGACAGCGGTCTGTAAATAATCGAGTCTGGACCAGACAATCCAGTGATTAATATCATGAGCATCGATCCACTCAAATGGGATCAATGACATGTATCAACCAAGTCAGCGAGCCTGACCTCCCGATCCCGTTAGTCGCCTTTTACGACAAGCATAGTCACCTTTTACGGCAAGCATAGTCACCTTTTACGGCAAGCATGGGTTGCTGAAGACCTATTCTACCCCGGAATCTTCACGGGTCAACGTGACACCGGGTCCTCATGCATGGCTGCTGGAGTCAGTCCTGTCTGTTGAAGAAGGCCGCACCAATTTTGACCATTTTCGTCAACAGATTACCTAGTTGCTTTGATTCCTGCAGAACTATGCTGCCTAGTAGTGTATTTGGTTCAAATGGAGCCTGGGCACCTGGTTGGTGGGTTGTTTGGTTTGTTTAACGCCGCACTCAGCAATATTCCAGCTATATGACGGCGGTCTGTAAATAATCGAGTCTGGACCAGACAATCCAGTGATTGATATCATGAGCATCGATCCACGCAATTAGGATCGATGACATGCATCAACCAAGTCAGCGAGCCTGACCACCCAATCCTGTTAGTCACCTCTTACGACAAGCATAGTCGCCTTTTTACGGCAAGCATGGGTTGCTGAAGACCTGTTCTACCCCGGATCTTCACGTGTCCAGGAAAAGCATTGTACCTAATACAGGCAAACTGTTGAGATTGTACTAGACATCATTCAAAGTTGATCTCATAACTTTTCAGACACCTTTGGCCTGTGTATTTTTGCCATCAGCGTAGAAAACAATGCGGACACTTCACATTCGTAAAACTTGAATATTCAAATGTTGATTATCAGTTTGAAACCTCTAGAGTACATGTTTGTAATAACAAACAAGGTTGAAGTTCAGTACGCACACCTGTTACATGGAATTGTTGCTTATCATATATCATGATGCAGATACCATACAGCTATTAGACTGGCAGGTCACTGTTTAGTAATCACAAGAACAAGTAAAGCTCTTGGATTATGTGCATTTATATCGCAGGCCTATTGTTGCTATTTGACAATGCCCTGCTAATAATTCAGTCAGAGAAGCCAGTGAGTGAATGAGTGAGTTTGGTTTTATAGCCGCTTTTAACAGTATTCCAGTTATATCACGGCGTGTCAGCTTAATGTGGGAGGAAAGCCCGAAGTGATGCAGGTCTCAGACGTTTACCACTTAGGTGAAACCCACGAGCACGGGTATGGTGCATAATCGGGGCGAACCGGGATTCGAACCTACAATCATGGGTTTCTGGCGTGCCAAAGGGACGCAACTCTGAACAGCGAATCCCGGCGCCTTGGACGACTGGGCCACCCGTGTCCCCGAGAAGCCAGTGATTGGTATTACAGTAGACTCTGTCAAATACGACAAACATTTTTTTTCTGCCCGGCGCTGGCTCCTGTAGTATCATACAAAAACAAATCGTTAAAACACCCTCTGTGTAATCCGACACCTGTCTATTCCGAATTCCGACATTGTTTTGTGGTCCCATGAGCAAAACCCCTCTCTGTAATCCAACATCAGCACAAGACCAATCTTCCATGATGTTTTAATGTGAACTTAACACGATATACGGCTTTTCAATTGGATGAGGCACAGGTCACATGGCCGCGAAACTGGCGTTCATACGTGTGTGAACGACACAGTTTGACAGTCCATACGTTTTTCACGAGACTGTCTTCTTGAAATGACGTAAACACTGACAGACTACTTGAACATTCCGAGGGAAAACCCTTGGAATTCCCTAAAATGAATACACGCAGAAGCGTTGTTTCTAAACGTTTGGACCCTTTAATCCGGAACTCAGGGTTTTCGCATACATTGAGAAACGTCTTTGTTATAAACAGATGACTTATACAAGCATAGGTATTACTTTTATAAAAACAGATTGCGAAAACAAGTGACTCTGACATTGGGACCTTTTTATATACTGATGGCTTATACAAGCAACATCAAATATAGGTATTGACCATAGGATCACCTGGTACTTTTCTATATACATATGGGCTATACAAGTGACGTTGACCATTGATATTACTTCTTTATATGCAGATGGCTTATACAAGCAACATTAACCATAGGTATTGACCACAGGATCACCTGGTACTTTTCTATATACATATGGGCTATACAAGTGACGTTGACCATTGATATTACTTCTTTATATGCAGATGGCTTATACAAGCAACATTAACCATAGGTATTGACCATAGGATCACCTGGTACTTTTTGATATGCATATGGGCTATACAAGTGACTTTGACCATTGATATTACTTTTTTATACGCAGATGGCTTATACAAGCAACATTAACCATAGGTATTGACCACAGGATCACCTGGTACTTTTCTATATACATATGGGCTATACAAGTGACGTTGACCATTGATATTACTTCTTTATATGCAGATGGCTTATACAAGCAACATTAACCATAGGTATTGACCATAGGATCACCTGGTACTTTTTGATATGCATATGGGCTATACAAGTGACTTTGACCATTGATATTACTTTTTTATACGCAGATGGCTTATACAAGCAACATTAACCATAGGTATTGACCACAGGATCACCTGGTACTTTTTGATATGCATATGGGCTATACAAGTGACTTTGACCATTGATATTACTTTTTTATACGCAGATGGCTTATACAAGCGACATTGACAAAATGTATTACTTTCCTATATACAGATGCCTTATACAAGCGACGTTAATTATTGGTATTACTTTTCTATACAGATGCCTTATACAAGTGACTTTGACCATAGTTAAATTACTTCTTCATACGCATATGGTGAACTCCTGGTATCAAAACTATTGGATAGTGATTCATACACACATGCTGATGATAAATCGACTCTATTTTCTATTGGATATGGAAAGGGTTTTGTCACGTTATTAAGCTTTTATATTCAGATTGCGAAAACAAGTGACATTCGTGACTATATAAAGTGACTTTTTATATGCAGATGGCTAAAACAAGCGACAATGACGAAAAGTATTACTTTTCTATATGCAGATGGCTAAAACAAGCGACATTGACCAAAGGTATTACTTTTCTATATACAGATAGCTTATACAAGTCACTTTCTCCAAAGGAAGTTCATTTAATTATACAGATGGCTAAAACAAGTGCCTTTGACCAAAGGTATTACTTTTCTATATACAGATGGCTTATACATGTGACTTTCTCCAAAGGAAGTTCATTTAATTATACAGATGGCTAAAACAAGTGCCTTTGACCAAAGATATTACTTTTCTATATACAGATGACTTATACAAGTGACTTTCTCTGAAGGAAGTACATTTAATTATACAGATGGCTAAAACAAGTGCCTTTGACCAAAGGTATTACGTTTCTATATACAGACGGCTAAAACAAGTGCCTCTGGTCATAGGTATTACTTTTCTTTATACAGATGGTTCAAACAAGTGCCTTTGACCAAAGGTATTATTTTTCTTTGTACATATGGCTTATACAAGCGACATTGACCATGGGTACGCCTGGGTGGCACTGATGGCCACCTTCAGCATCCAGTTCATAATTGGAGTCACCATATGCTCGACAGGAGTAATAAATATTGCAATAATGGAAGAAGTTGAAGACGATATTACGAAAACATCATGGATTGGTTCAACTCTCGTCGGAACATTCACTTTACTAGGTTAGTATGTCCATTTATTCTGACTATGTACAGCCACAAAGGATGCAAAGTCCTTGGATTTGAACCGATGGCGTCCAACCATTAAATATTGCAATAATGGAAGAAGTTGAAGGCGATATTACGAAAACATCATGAATTGGTTCAACTCTCGTCGGAACATACACTTTACTTGGTCAGTATGTCCATTGATTCTGACTATGTGCAGCCACAAAGGATGCGAATTCCTAAGATTTGAACCGCTGGCGTACAACCATTAAAATCTGTCCGAAATGGCAGACATGACCGCATGCCGAGCAAAGCATAGAAATATGTATTTTGGGTGTGTAAAAGTAAAAATGAATGTAATATATCATTGTAGTTATTTGAATAAACAATATGTTATTATGACCATGATAATGGCCAAGACAGTCACCTCTGTTAAGATTGTAGCACGAATCATCTACACATTTCATTTTGTTATTCTCACATAACATGTTCTCATTAATGCAGGTCCCATTGCTGGAGTCGTTCAACAGAAGGTTGGTGCAAGGATCACAGCTATGGCAGGGGGTCTGCTGATGCTTCTGGGAATGTCTGTAGCCTCATTCTGCCAAACTATCATTGGCCTGTTACTTACATATGGCCTTCTTGCAGGTGGGAATGGTTTAACATGAATATATATCATAATTACAGTGAGTATATTGTAATTCCTGCAGTCTGATTGGTAAATCAATGTAAATAAATAAACCACCCTCAAAGAGAATAGGTCTTCAGCAACCCACGCTTGCCGTAAAAGGCGACTATGCTTGTCGTACGAGGCGACTAACGGGATGGGGTGGTCAGGCTCGCTGACTTGTAGATGCATGTCATCGTATCCCTATTGCGTGGATCGATGCTCATGATGTCAATCACTGGATTGTCTTGTCCAGACTCGATTATTTACAGACCGCCGTCATAAAGCTGGAATATTGCTGAGTGCGGCGTTAAACAACAAACCAACCGACAACCAACCAATGTAATTTCAGGTGTGGGTTTAGGACTTGGTGTCAATGTGATCGGAGTTATACCAGGGCAGTACTTCCGGAAACGAAGGCCTGCTGCTTATGGAATCTGTATGGCAGGATGTGGAGCTGGCTTGTTTGTAGGAGGTCCACTCAGTCAATACCTTCTCCACTACTATAAACTTCACGGAACACTATTGATAATGGGCGGCATTGGTTTCAATATGTGTGTGGCAGGTGCATTATTGAGACCAGTGCACCTGGTTAGAACATGCCCATTAGTAGATGCGAAAGGGTTGCAAACACAAGAATGTGTTGTCTTGAAAACATCGGAAAATGACGACACCACGGTGATGTCCCAAGCCGACGAACGGTCATTTTGTTTGGTAAATATGAAGACGACTGAGTTTTCTAAAGGACGACAATACGTTGCAACACAATTACATGAAATGGATTCCAGAAATAAAGCAGCACAAATTCAGAAACGGCGTCGGTTGATGAAAAGATTTGACATTTTCAGACAATATTCGTTTTGGATGTATTGCTTGAGCATTATGTTTTGGAGCGTAGGTGAAGCTACCTGGATATTCCATCTGCCCAACTACGCGGAACACAAAGGACGCTCTCCAGCGGAGGCTGCAAGTCTCCTAACTGCTATGGGAGCAGGGAGCATGTTTTCACGGGTATTTGCAGGAATAGCAGCCTCAGACTCCAACATAGATGCCGTGGTGCTACAAGTGGGACTATCGGGTTTGGCAGGAATAATATCTTTCTTGTTTACTGTTGGCCAATCTTCATACGGTTCACTACTTGCCCGTAGCTACTTTTATGGGACATACAGTCAAGGCATCAATTCTCTCATCGGACCAATCATCATAAATCTGCTTGGTTTGCCCCACGTTCCTGTTGCATATGGAATCGTGTGTTTCTTCTGCGGGCTTGGTCATTTGTTAGGACCTCCTATAGCAAGTAGGTACATGTGTAGGGGAAAATAGAACATGTGATCATGATCATGACAATATTTGATACAGTTTTCATGTAGCTCTATCTGTCCGGTTATTTCGATTCTTACTGCTGTCTGTCACAAATTTGAATTAACACTTTTGTTCTAATTAATGTCATTGACAACTAATTAATGTCACTGAAAACTAATTAATGTCATTGACAACAAATTAATGGAATTGACAACAAATTAACGGTATTGACAACTAATTATTGGTACTCTTGAAGTGTGCCAAGTCTCTGATAATACTGGAGATGAGATACACTAATGTAATATCATTTGATACCTGCAAAATGTTCTGCTTAACGTTTAATGCGTTTGTTCCAGGCACCTTGTACAAATGCAGTGGTATATACGAGTACACATATGTGTTTGCAGGTATGGGTTGATGTTCTTAATGTTGTCTGTACTGATTCACGGATTTAAGTGTACATGTAGCTCTATAAACGCCAAAATATATTGAAGTTAATTCTTATAAGTAAATACGTCAAAAATAATAACTTCACAGACTGCTTATTTATTTATAAACACACACACACACACACACACACACAAACACACAAACACACACACACACACACACACACACACACACACACACACACACACACACAAAATATAAACAACAATACGAAATCAGTGATATCATTCAGCGCAATTACACAAAACAAGCCCCGCCCATTCTATTATTCTATTGTCGTCTCGAGGTTTACTGATAGTGATGGAAAGCATCTGTCAATTCACGTCAAAATGTAACAAAAAACACACCCAAAATAATTTATATTTTAGTCCTGTCAGAGTGAGCTGGATTTAAGGCCGCTTTTAACAGTATTCCAGTTATATCACGGCGTGTCAGCTTAATGTGGGAGGAAAGCCCGAAGTGATGCAGGTCTCAGACGTTTACCACTTAGGTGAAACCCACGAGCACGGGTATGGTGCTGACAAACCTAGAAACATAATCGGGGCGAACTGGGATTCGAACCCACAATCATAGGTTTCTGGCGTGCCCAAGGGACGCAACTCTGCACAGCGAATCGCGGCGCCTTAGACGACTGGGCCACCCGTGCCCCTTATTCCTGTCAGAATGCTAATTGCGTATCTGTTATTTGTGTTAAATAAACGGATGTTTTGTATGACATGTGCTGTATGTACAGAACTTTGTTTCTTCATTTCAGGAGCATGCTTGGTCCTCGCCTCCATATCAACAGCATTAACCAAAATGTGTTGATAGAACAAACCTCGGCATTGCAGTACAGAAGTAGTAAGAGTAATGGTCGGGGTTGATGAAGAGATGGTAGTTGGTTTTGAGGTGAGGTGAGGTGAAATTGGGTTTAACGTCGCGTCCAAGATTATTGCACTTATATAGCGACGTGCATGCACGTGTGTGTGTGGCTGCTTGTACTAGACCGGACTGAGGCCGATTTATAGTGCTAGCCCACTGAGATACCATGCCGCAGTTTAACATGAATATCCCACTCAGACACAGTATACTGACTCCGAGCCGACCAGTCCTTGCTTTAACCCCTTACTGCCGAGCGCCAGACAGGGTAACAACAACTACCATCTTTAACCGTCTTTTGGTATGACGCGGCCGGGGATCGAATCCCGGACCTCCCGCTCTCCGGGCGGACGCTCTACCACTAGACCACGGAGGCGGTCGAGTTGGTTTTGAGACTGGGTGGTGAATCGTTATGCGAGCGGAGTCAATCCGACAATCAGACATGGCGGGGCTCCTGTACTTCTGTTTTTATATTTATTATAAATGTTATATTATTTATGTTCATGTCAATAGGGTCCATAAGTGATTTTCAAAGTGGTGGTGGGTGTGGCTGTCCTTCCATATTACGTTCGGCATAGTCAGCATGGGTACTGATAGGAATCAGTGACGACACCTGATCAGTATTCAGGTGACCGTGCCTTCCCATGTGTTTGTGACGTGTGCAGGATACGCTCAACTATTTGCGAACACATGACATCATCACTATTTCCTGGTGATTCATAAACACATGCTTGTGATAAAGTAGGAATCGTAACATGGACCGCTCTCAGCAGATATTTCTTATGATTGTGGAAACGGGTTTGTAGCTTTTATTTATTGAATACTGAAATTCCATACAGCTTCAAGCGACGAACAAAGTCGACTGCACATGAATTTGGAAATGTTCAAATAAACATACACATGCAGATATGGAGTGATGAGTACTTTTAGCAATATTCCAGCAATATCACGGCGGGGGACACCAGAAATGGGCACCACACATTGTACCCATGTCGGGAATCGAACCCGGGTTTTCGGCTTGACGAGCGAAAGCTTTAACCACTGGGCTACTCGACCCTCCCTGCAGATATGGGATAGGTTTTGTATCATAACTGCACAGCAAATACCGGTATATTAATTTCATTCAAGACAGTAAGTTTCTCATTTTATAGATATCAGAATGAAAAGAAAACACAATCCAAGTATACATTATATTATACATATATTCCGGAGATGTGATTTATGGGACGCGGAAGCATACTCGACAAACAAAATCGACAACATTCGTCGGCATTTAATATGACGTTATGAAACATGTAATTTTAACTCATCTTTTAAAAGGTGATGGCTAGACGTAAACATCCACACACACATAATTCTGCAATTTATCACGTTTTTGTGGATTATAATGTAAGCCTGTTTCTTCCATTTTCCAGTTTCATTACTTACGCAATTGTATTTTCTCAACTGTTATTGTTTTATGTTTTTACGTGAAATGAAGTCATTTTAAACAATGCCATGTTATTAGTCTAAATTTTGTTCTCAACTGTTATTGTTTTATGTATTTACGCTTGCTTTGCTTACACTACGTGAAAGGAAGTCATTAAAACAATGCCATGCTTTTTTTCGGAATTTTGGCCTCAACTGTTACTTTTTTTAATGTACTTAGGCTTGCCTTGCTTACACTACGTGAAAGGAAGTCAATAAAACAATGCCATGTTTTTAGTCTGAATTTTATTCTCAACTATTAATGTTTTATGTGTTTACGCTTGCCTTGCTTACATTACGTGGAAGGGAGTCATTAAAACAATGCCATGCTTTTATTCGGAATTTTGGCCTCAACTGTTACTTTTTTTAATGTACTTAGGCTTGCCTTGCTTACACTACGTGAAAGGAAGTCAATAAAACAATGCCATGTTTTTAGTCTGAATTTTATTCTCAACTATTAATGTTTTATGTGTTTACGCTTGCCTTGCTTACATTACGTGGAAGGGAGTCATTAAAACAATGCCATGCTTTTATTCGGAATTTTGGCCTCAACTGTTACTTTTTTTAATGTACTTAGGCTTGCCTTGCTTACACTACGTGAAAGGAAGTCAATAAAACAATGCCATGTTTTTAGTCTGAATTTTATTCTCAACTATTAATGTTTTATGTGTTTACGCTTGCCTTGCTTACATTACGTGGAAGGGAGTCATTAAAACAATGCCATGCTTTTATTCGGAATTTTGGCCTCAACTGTTACTTTTTTTAATGTACTTAGGCTTGCCTTGCTTACACTACGTGAAAGGAAGTCAATAAAACAATGCCATGTTTTTAGTCTGAATTTTATTCTCAACTATTAATGTTTTATGTGTTTACGCTTGCCTTGCTTACATTACGTGGAAGGGAGTCATTAAAACAATGCCATGCTTTTATTCGGAATTTTGGCCTCAACTGTTACTTTTTTTAATGTACTTAGGCTTGCCTTGCTTACACTACGTGAAAGGAAGTCAATAAAACAATGCCATGTTTTTAGTCTGAATTTTATTCTCAACTATTAATGTTTTATGTGTTTACGCTTGCCTTCCTTACACTACGTGAAAGGAAGTCATTAAAACAATGCCATGCTTTTAGTCTGAATTTTGCCTCAGTGGGCACAGAAAAACCGTCCTTATTCCAGTTATCGAAGGGATTCCTAGATCCCATCCTTTCCAATCAGACCGCTACCGCAGTCAAGTGGTAGAGCGTCTGCCTGGAGAGCGAAAGGTTCGATCCCCGGGGCGTCATACCAAAAGACGTTGAAAGACGTTGTTGCTACCCTGTCTGACGCTCGGCATTATGGGGCTAAAATAAGGACTGGTCGGCTCGGAGTCTGAGTGGGGTATTCATGTTAAACTGCGGCATGGTATCTCAGTGAGCTAGCACTATAAAATCGGCATCAGTCTGGACTAGTACAAGCAGCCACACACACACGCGCGCATGCTTGCACGTCGCTATATAAGTGAAATAATCTTGGACGCGACGTTAAACCCCATTTTACCTCGCCTTCAATTCAGGTGTCATCCCGTGTCTTCCTCCACTGTTGATCTTCACGATGTCTGATATTACATGCTTTACCATTTCAACGTGTCCTCAATCACAGGCCACATGAAGGATATTGTTACCTTGATCATCTATTGAGGAAACATCACAACATTTACCCACAAGAAAGTCAAACACTTCTTTATGCCCGTAGTATGCCGCTTTCATTACACATGTCATCCTCTGTCCTCCTCTACTGTTGATGTCCACGATGTCTTTTGAAAGGACATACTTTACGATTTCAATGTTTCCTCCTTCACAGACCACATGAAGGATATTGTTACCTTAATCATCTATTGAGGAAACATCACAACATTTACCCACAAGAAAGTCAAACACTTCTTTATGCCCGTAGTATGCCGCTTTTAATACAGGTGGCATCCCGTATCTTCCTCTACTGTTGATGTCCACGATGTCTTTTGAAAGGACATACTTTACGATTTCAATGTTTCCTCCTTCACAGACCACATGAAGGATATTGTTACCTTAATCATCTATTGAGGAAACATCACAACATTTACCCACAAGAAAGTCAAACACTTCTTTATGCCCGTAGTATGCCGCTTTTAATACAGGTGGCATCCCGTATCTTCCTCTACTGTTGATGTCCACGATGTCTTTTGAAAGGACATACTTTACGATTTCAATGTTTCCTCCTTCACAGACCACATGAAGGATATTGTTACCTTAATCATCTATTGAGGAAACATCACAACCTTTACCCACAAGAAAGTCAAACACTTCTTTATGTCCACAGAACGCCGCTTTCAATACAGGTGTCAATTTATATGGATGAAAAACGTCTTTATTAAAATTAGGAGCGCGTTTCGACGTAGGTTTTAACACCGTTATCAAGCAAGCCGCTTGATATGTAATATAGAAGTTGTTAATCCTTATATCTTATCCTTACTTTACATATTTGATATTAAAAACCGGTTTCTGCTTAACAATTGACTTGCCTGGGCATGTGTTTGTGACGGGTGTCACCGGTGTGGCAGGATACGCTCACCTTTTCGTGAACAGTGATGCATAAACACATGATCATGATGAAATCGGA